TTTATAAATTCAATTTTTTCATGTTTTCTCGAGCAGTTTCCCAAGCGCATACCTTTTTTTTGCCAAATGAAATGAGCGCATAAAAATGCCTTGCGACCATAAAAAGATACAACATCGTCTTCAAAATCAATTGAAAGTTCTAGTGAGTGAAGTAACATATCACTTGGTATGATAATGAAGAACTATGAAAAGCTTTGAAGGATCTTTCTGAGCAAAGCGATACAAATCAAAGCTAATGAACGGCTAGTTTTAGGCGCTCATCCAGTACGAGATATGAACGAAGTCTCACTTATCGCTATCGTTCCGAAACTCGCATGGATGCTGAAGAATTGGAGAAGAGAGAGCAGCTTGAGCACTGGCTAATGCAGCAACCACTGGAGAAAAGAAAACTTGACCAAAGCGATCGACAAGTTGCAATGCTTGCAGGTAATGAGCAAACTGTGCATATAAGGTGTGCTAGTCTCCTTGACGAGCAGAAAACCTCTTATCTATTCATCTTTTTCTTCATATGTATTGATTACTAAAAGGATTATGGCTATTGTCGACCGCTTAAAATCAACGCTTATGTGCAATAAAACCCAGGGGCTACGATTGAAGGTACCTAATCGTTAGGTTTGCGTCAAAAAAGGATCAATTGTCGCTAAAGAATTGTTTCTTCCATTTTTGCATTTCGCGTTTCTCTTCCCATAGCAACGCATATGCACAACAAGAAGAGGTAAAAACAGTTTCATGTGTATCAATTATTCACAGCGTCTCGATTACTTAGAGACCTTTAAACAAGTAGAAGCGACCACGGCTTAGTGGGATGCGTACTTATATTGGCAATAGTTGAAAGTGGCCAATCAAGACTAGCTAGTTTTTACTTAGCTTCTCGGTCTACATGATTACTTGGATGTTTCAATGGCTCTTCTGGTTTCAAAGTAGATCTACTTATTCCAAAGTTTTGTATTTTCTCGGTTAATTTTTCTGATGCCGGCAAAAAGTTCATAATGAGATATTGTTGGCATGGTAATTCTTTGTAGCCACAAAGTAGCAACCAAAGTGATATATTCTGACAATTTCTGATGTCCAAATGAAGATGATAGAGGAGAATCCAAATTTCCACTCCTAACTCTTTCCTTTTGTCAGTTCAAATTCATTTCTGACTTGTTAGAGCAACGCAAGAATTTACGTCCCAATTTTATGTTGTTGTGGGATTTTTTCATTGTTTATACGTATCAAATTTGAATACTGACAACTCATTTTATGTAAACGATGAAGTGAGAAGTTATGAAACCA